GCCGGGCCGAGGGCCCCCCCCCCCCCCCCCCCCCCGAGTGCACAAATTTTTGTGCACCGGGCCCCTAGTATATATATATTCATTTAGGTATTCTATGTATTTTACTTGGAGAATTTAGTCCATTTACATTTAAAGTAATTATTGTTAGGTAAGGACTTACTAATGCCATCTATTGTTTTCTGGCTGTTTTGTAGTTCTAAAAGTCAACCAACTATTGGTGGTTGATAGGATATATAATAACGGCAACTACTATTATATCAGTTTATAGCCATCTTCTTTCATGGTGAAGTGGGTTCTCTGGTTAGGAGTAACACCATGGGAGAAATACCATATTGTACACAAGACATTCAATGAAGATAGATATTGACATAGGGATTATGGGTAGGTAAGGCAAGTTTTCCTAAAGTTCTATGCATTGGATCTTTCCCTTCTCTGATACCTTTAAGGCCCCAGAGGCTGTAACAATTCTCTTTTCTAGATGATTGTCATATTAAAGACATACTACATATTGTTTTCTGTAGGAAAGGTTTATTTTTTCTTTTCTTTTACTACTGAATAGACACACCCTAATCTCCAGTAAAAGTGATGTATTATTTCCCAAGCATTTTGTGCTTTTCTGTACTTTATCCTTCATCTCTTTTTAAAAAAATATATATTTTATTGATTTTTTACAGAGAGGAAGGGAGAGGGATAGAGAGTTAGAAACATCAATGAGAGAGAAACATCGATCAGCTGCCTCCTGCACACCCCCTACTGGGGATGTGCCCACAACCAAGGTACATGCCCTTTTCCGGAATCAAACCTGGGACCCTTCAGTACGCAGGCCGACACTCCATCCACTGAGCCAAACCAGTTAGAGCTCCTTCATCTCTTAATCTTATGTTGAAAGTTCCTTATTCAAGAACAACACACAGAGAAAAAGTGAATTCTGCCTCTAAAGGCCCATAATATTTTGGATCTCTTAGCAGCTCTTTATAGTTAGTTACCTGTATGTATTTCCTTTATAATCTGGTCCATCCACTTGATTTTATGAATGAGAAAGTTGTGATTCAAGTTTTTAAGAGACCTGCTCTTAAGATATTTGAAACTAAGTAACATTTCTATAGAGAAGAAATAATTCACTTTTCTATTTACTTTTTATTATTTTTATAAAATTTGTAGGTCAGTATTATTTTCTTGTTAATACTTCTTTGATAATAAGAACATTCATTGTGGTAATAGTAATGACTACATTGTATGTACTTGATATTTATTTTTAATAGGAAAAACTCAAAAGACAGGCAAAAGAAAACACAGTTACTCTCAAAGAAAAAACTGACAAGGTAAGAGTTTTATATAATTTTTAGTTTTCTTTATAACCAATTCATTTTCTAACATTTACTTAGAAAATTTTTTTGTTCATAAGTAGGAAAAAAACATTTAAAATATATCACACAATTTCATTTTCTAAATTGTTTCTTGCTATTATTAAAAAGCATTTGCTAAAAACTTTAAAGCGGTGTCACTTGGAGATTTAGAGAAGTTCAACCTTCTATAATTTTTATTACAGTATTATCTTAAATTAGGTACATTTGTGTTTCTTGAGAATTTTCTGTTAGAGGCAAAATATTTTCATTAAAGATTCTAAAGCTTATATTTAGATTATGTCTAGTTTGGGGTTTGAGAGGGCTAAATAAATGACATCCTGCTTTTCTTAAGTCTGAACCAATTGAGAAAGACAATGAAAACCAAAATAATATCTTTATTATTGATAAGTAATATTGGAGAATGTAGCTTATATTTGAAGGTAAGGGGATTTCTTCATCTTGAAATCCCAAATTAGAAATATTTGTCTACTTTGTCACGGTAGATCTGAACTGGAACAAGTTATCCACTTAAAAATGGCTGCTCTTGTAAAACATGGCATAAAGGGGAGGAGAGCAGAATGTGTGCTTCCTCTGGTACCCAAGAGTAAGGAAGGGTTTGAACTATATTTGCCCAGTTTTTCCTTTCAAATTCACTAGTCCCATTAAGTCATTGTTCTTCCCCTAAGGAGAAAGAGGTTAGGAATGTTACCCTAGTATTGCTTTCTACACATGGAAGGAAGCACCAGGTATGTAGAAGAGCGATACCCCTCAGTTTCTCACACATTACAGAAGAATTCTAAATGCAAGTTTTAATGATTAAACATTCTTTCTACACAGTGATATAATCAGTCCTAAGTCCCCACAGAGGTTGCTTTTGACTATAAACTGAAAGTGACAGTAGTTGACAACAGTTGAGTTTTAGGTATCCAGCAGTCGCCAACCAGTGGTCCATGGAACTCTGGTGGTCCATGAGGTCCGAAAGGTTGGCAACTGCTGGATAAAACAATTTTGTTATATTTGGGTTCAAAGAAAGAGAAGGAAAGAAATATTATACCTGTAGGTGAATATTGAATGCTTCATATGTTCCAAATATTGTGGTAGGCACTTGAAAAAATATTTGGAGAAATTATTGTCATATTAAAATTAGCCAGCAGGATTAGGTAATGGTCTAAGGGAAGTGTCAGACAAAGATAAATAAATTGGTTAAATTCTAATATTTATTTCCAAATATAGAATGTATTCATACTATGCAGGTATATATTCCATATTGTTATAAAGTTGTTTTGACTCATGTATAATTCCAGTAATATATGCCTATTATTTATATCTGTTATCAAATAGATTAGTAAATGCCTTATATTGTATCTGGGGGTCTGGATATATATGACAAATAATGAGAAAATGAAAAAAGAAATAATTTAAATATGCTTTTATTTTCTATATTTTATTCCAAAATTATGGAAATATCATAAGTCTTTATATAATAATCATTAGGTTTATCAAACATGTCTGAATTTGGGCAAGTTACTTAACTTTCTCATGCCTCAGTATTCTCATTTATAAAGGGGTAATAATAGTAGCTATTTCCTAAAGTTGTTATGAGGATTAAGTGAAGTAGTATTTGTAAAGCACTTAAAATAGTGCTCAGCACACAGGAAATGCCATATAAGTGCTTAAAAAGTACAACAGAGAAAATCATGAATGTTCTGAATATATGCATCACTGGAAGTATAACATTTAGAAAAGAAGGTAACTTGTAGGAACGTGCATACATTTCCATGATGTATTACGAAGAGGGTTATTTCAGTATTCTAGAATGAGGAGGGGCAGTTGCATTTTCTTTTAGGCTACCAGGCTATCCAGGAAATGTTAATTCTCAGACATGGCCACATGGTGGTGTAGTTGCCATTATCAGTCCTTTTTGGGGAGAAACATTTGTCCGTGAAAGCAGTTACATTTTGGAGACTACTGATGAAGAAGAATAACTTTGTTTTCATTAAAATTGTGCTATCAACTATGATGTATAAATGTTTAGGAAAAAGAATGCAGAAGTGCAACTGTGAAAAAATATTACTAAGATTCATACCTACTGGAAAAATGACTATAAAAGTGAGATCACTAGGACTAGTCAGGAAACCTACAAGTCACCTTACTTAGCTCCTTGATTATATAAATGGATAAATTTAAGTCTGGAGATACTTAGTGACTTAGTTAAAATCACCTAGCAAAGTAGTAAAAGTTCCTGGAGAAAAGAGCATACTTGACTCCTAGTTCAGTGTTTTTTATAGTACTTGTGGTCATGTCATAGTCCTGCACTCTGTACCCTGTACCCTCCTAATTTGAGTAATGATCTATCTCACTGCAGATTCAACCACCAACCTTTTGAAAGTGTAGCCTCCCCCACCTTTTGGTTGTTGTGTGTGCGCTTCATTCTTTCTTATAAGTGGTTGTTGCCTTGATTGTATTCATGGATATGATGGTGACCAACAAAAGTGGTAAAATAGAAAGTAATAGGCATGAGGTTCATGTAGGGTTCCACTAAAGCAGCTATTGTTACTAGCTTTTACTGGAAAGCTATGTCAGGTGCTGAGGGAAAGATATATAAAGGTAGAGAGAAAGGGAACCAAATAAATTGAGTTGAAATAATATCTAAGTATTTAGAGTAAATTTGCATTTTGTTTATTTTCAGAGTTGAAACAAATAGCTACTTTACATTTTTTCTGACAATTTCTCTAGTTCTTTATTATCATAATTTTTGTTCCCCCCCTTTTTTTGAGGGGAGTGAGGTTGGTGGATAGGAAAAAACTGACATTTATTAATAGATAAGAGAAGATATGAAAGCATAAAAGAGAATAAATGGAAATGAGAATAAATTGCCCTCTAGTTTTTAGACTATTAGAATGAACCACGGATTAAGGCATTTTGCCACCAGGAATAGAGATTTTTCTTTATAGAATCCTCAGTTTTCGATCAGATAGAGTTGAGATATCGTCTTTGTTTTCATAGCAGCTCTCTGAAGACAGGAAGGGGCAGATACCATTTTCATCTTAAATAGGAAAATGAAGTGACCAAAAATGAATTAATTATTTAATTTAATTAGTATGTCATTTATTCAAAGTTATCTAGTCAATAATAAATTTGGGGGTAAATTTTAGTTTATTCCTGTGTTATTTCTACTAGTTGCTACATTGTAATTAAAATGACATTTAACTATTTTATTCATTTCTATTGTCTAATACAGTATTAGGAAACAACTTGAAATAGAAAGAGAAGAAAAAGAAAAACTCAAAAGACAGGTAAAAGAAAACGCAGTTACTCTCAAAGAAAAAACTGACAAAAAAATACAGACATCTTTATCGGAAACACTTACAACCAGTTATCGGAAATTTGATCCTAAAGTAGCTCCTTCACAAAATATATCTCGAAACTTCACATCAGCTGATTATGGCAAACCCAAAGAAAAAAAAGACAATCTGAGGACACCTGCCAAAAGTACTTTATCTGAACCATTACCAAAGGTTGGTTGGTAAAATTTCAAAAGAAGTAGTAACTTTTTAATTAAAAAAGACAGTTTGGTGTTATATACCACATATCTAGTATCAGACATGTTAGTAGATATAAAGCCAATTTTGTAAAAGTTTCCATTTTTTGTGATACCAACATGAAATGTGTTTGATTTTTTTCTGTCACTGCCCACAACTTAATGGCATCTTGGCAGCTTTCATAACTTTCTAGCATTCACCAATGCATAGGTCCCTGATGTGGGAAAAGTTTCTCCACCTGTCTCTACCCCTCTAAGCTAAAATACCATGTCTTTCTCTCCCAATTTCCTTAATATAACTGGGAATAAGGAAGTTTGGTGATTGTGGGGCTTGCTTTTACATAAAACACTTTTTAGTAAGCCCCAGAGAAGGACCTGGCCTTAATTATAGGTCACTTTGTTTAGAATATCTGTTACTAGCACTTTCCCCCTCAGCTGTGTGCCCCTGTAAACAATTCCAGAGCAAAAGGAAGAGTTCCACTCATATGCTGTTATATATACACTAGAGGCCCGATGCACGAAATTTGTGCAAGGGGCTTGGCTCTTGCAGCTGCAGCAGCTTGCCTCGGCTCTCACAGCCCTGGCTTTGTCCGGAAGGTCGTCTGGCTGTCTGGTCTAATTAGCGTATTATGCTTTTATTACTGTAGATTATCCAACTCAGAAGCTATGAAAATTAATTTACATAGCTTAGAGAAGCTTTTATATAAAGCTATTTTTTACTTACTATATTATTTAGAATATGAAAAGATTTCTATTAAAGAATGACCTTACTTTAAAAAACTTTTAATTGGCAGCTCCTTTTTGATAGGAATGCAGAAGCCTGAGGTGAGCATTCAGGTCATAGGCATCTGTTTAGATATATAACCATAAAATATTTTTAAATCTGAAAAAAAATAAAAAACTTTTAATTGAAATATATGCAAGAAGAACACATAGATCTTAATTATACAACTTGATGAATTTTTACAAAACCAAACATAACCTTATAACCATCACTCAGATTAAAACATGAAATGTTATCACCTCAGAAGAGCTTCTTATTCCCTCTTCCAGTTACTAGCCCTCCCCCAAGGCCAACTGTTTTTTCAGTAATACTTTTAATTACATGATTATAATTATACAATTTCTACTATTCAGTATTTTGTATAAAACCAGTTACAATATACATGATTTTCAAATGTGACAGTACTTACCAGACTACATAGATGTGCAAAGTTTACTTGCCATTATGAAACTTTATCTTAAAAATAACTTCAGGAAAATAAACATGAAACCAATTCTCTCAGCTTTATAAAATACTAGAGGCCCGGTGCACAAAAATTTATGAGGGGATGATGGCTGTTTGCAGCTGGTCACACCCCCTTCAGGGTGGGGGTCCCCACTGGGGTGCCTGGCCAGCCTGGATGAGGGGATGATGGCTGTTTGCAGCTGGTCACACCCCCTTCAGGGTGGGGGTCCCCACTGGGGTGCCTGGCCAGCCTGGATGAGGGGATGATGGCTGTTTGCAGCTGGTCACACCCCCTTCAGGGTGGGGGTCCCCACTGGGGTGCCTGGCCAGCCTGGATGAGGGGATGATGGCTGTTTGCAGCTGGTCACACCCCCTTCAGGGTGGGGGTCCCCACTGGGGTGCCTGGCCAGCCTGGATGAGGGGATGATGGCTGTTTGCAGCTGGTCACACCCCCTTCAGGGTGGGGGTCCCCACTGGGGTGCCTGGCCAGCCTGGATGAGGGGATGATGGCTGTTTGCAGCTGGTCACACCCCCTTCAGGGTGGGGGTCCCCACTGGGGTGCCTGGCCAGCCTGGATGAGGGGATGATGGCTGTTTGCAGCTGGTCACACCCCCTTCAGGGTGGGGGTCCCCACTGGGGTGCCTGGCCAGCCTGGATGAGGGGATGATGGCTGTTTGCAGCTGGTCACACCCCCTTCAGGGTGGGGGTCCCCACTGGGGTGCCTGGCCAGCCTGGATGAGGGGATGATGGCTGTTTGCAGCTGGTCACACCCCCTTCAGGGTGGGGGTCCCCACTGGGGTGCCTGGCCAGCCTGGATGAGGGGATGATGGCTGTTTGCAGCTGGTCACACCCCCTTCAGGGTGGGGGTCCCCACTGGGGTGCCTGGCCAGCCTGGATGAGGGGATGATGGCTGTTTGCAGCTGGTCACACCCCCTTCAGGGTGGGGGTCCCCACTGGGGTGCCTGGCCAGCCTGGATGAGGGGATGATGGCTGTTTGCAGCTGGTCACACCCCCTTCAGGGTGGGGGTCCCCACTGGGGTGCCTGGCCAGCCTGGATGAGGGGATGATGGCTGTTTGCAGCTGGTCACACCCCCTTCAGGGTGGGGGTCCCCACTGGGGTGCCTGGCCAGCCTGGATGAGGGGATGATGGCTGTTTGCAGCTGGTCACACCCCCTTCAGGGTGGGGGTCCCCACTGGGGTGCCTGGCCAGCCTGGATGAGGGGATGATGGCTGTTTGCAGCTGGTCACACACCCTTCAGGGTGGGGGTCCCCACTGGGGTGCCTGGCCAGTCTGGGTGGGGGGCTGAGGGCTGCTTTCAGGCTGGCGGTTGTTGACTGAAGCTCCCAACCGCTCCTTTTTTTTCTCTTTTTTTATTTTATTCTGGGCCAGCTTTAGCTCTGGCTCTAGCTCTGAGGCTTCGTATCTGGTTTGTTTGCCGTTCTATAATCGAAACAATGTATAACTCCAGCTCTGAGATCCCGGCTGGCTGAAAGCTGGTTTCTGGGGTTTTGTTTAGCTTCTATATTTGTTACAAAGTTTCTTAGAGTTGCAGCTCAGAGGCCGGCAAGTCAGGCGGGGAACGTTGGAGTCTGCAGTCACTGGAGCAAGCAAGCCTCATGTTCGCTTCCAGCTGCCTGGCTGCCGGCCGCCATCTTGGCTGACAGTTTATTTGCATAAGGATATGCTGATTAGCCAATGGGAAGGGTAGCGGTCGTACGCTAATTACCATGTTTCTCTTTTATTAGTGTAGATGATTAGAAATATACATTTTAATTAAAAAAGATAATGATTGATCAAATACTGAATAATCAGTTACATTTTAAAACTTTTAATAATCTATACATGAGTACAGGTTAGATAAAAGTCTTAATATAAAACTTCAGTACTATAATGAGATGGAAATATCTTCTGAAATTTAATTCTAGGCAATTGAGGTAATTTCCTACACAGTTCCAACTTCCAATATTAGATGTATTACCTCTTTTTGCATTTTCTATAAATAGAACTATAAATTTTTTGCTTTTTTTCACTTAATATTATATTTGTGGGTTCATCCATATTGTTGCTTGAAGTTGTAGATTATTTTTATTTCTATATAGTATTTCATTGTGTGTCTGCACCACAGTTTATCTATTGTATTGTTAATAGACATTTGGGTAGTGTCCAGATTGGGTTTTATGTATAGTGTTGCTATAAAAATTCTAGTACTTAACATGTATGCATTCTAGTACTTAACATGTAGGTTGGCTATGTCTCCAGGAGTGAAATTGCCCATGTAAGGGTTATAGGCTTATGCATAATGCATTCCATCTTAATAGATACTGCCTGAGTTGTTTTTACTCTGATACAAAATGTATGTGTGTTTTTCTTATACTTCAGTTCTCTAACTCTCCAGACACTAACTGGGTGTCCTATAATTTGATTCAATTCTGACACTAACTATCTGGACTTAATGTAGACCCCCCAGATTAAGGGCTCAATCCCACAAGGCTCCCACTTCAGATGGCAGTCACAGTCTTGGCTTGCCATCATTTGTACTACTGACCAGCTGGCTATAAATTGGGGCTTCCTATAACTCCCTCCTCAATTTGCTAGCATGACTCTCAGAACTAAGGAAATTACTCACTATTTCCAGTTCATTATAAAGGACACAACTCAGGAACAGCCAAATGGAAAAGATGCATAGTAAAAAATGAGACCAAGGAAGAAATCAGAAATTATCTTGAGACAAATGAAAATGAATACACAACAGTCCAAAACCTATGGAACACAATAAAAGCAGTCCTAAGAGGGAACTGGATGAAAGGAAGGTGAAGGGATTAGCCAAAGGTTTTTAAATCTGAACCCATATATGCAAAACCCATATATGCAAAACCCACCAACAACAGTATGGTGATGGCCAGAGAGGGAAGGGGAGGCGGTAGCTAGGTGGAGGCGGCCAAATAGGGAAAATAGGAAGATATTTGTAATAGTGTCAACATTAAAAATAAAGAAAAAAATTTAAAAAATAACATTTATATCGACAAAGTCCAATGACTAGGCTTCCTTAGAGACAGATTCTGTTGATTGTTCCCTCATTCTCCCATGTAAGGGCCATAATTTCATGGTTTTTGTTTTTTTCATGTCTCATTTTTTTCTTGAAATCTGAAAATTAAAAATAATATAATGTGAGCTCTGGGAATCAGATTCTACCTTCTCCACTGGGTTTGTTGTTGCTTCTGCTTGTCATAGTTGTTACTGTTTGTTTAATGACCTTTCTAAACTAATCCTGTAAAGTTTGTATTATTTTAGTGCCATTGAAGTCTCTACTTGGTTAGCTTTATGTTCAACTAATGTTTGAACAGATAGCTCCTTAAAAACTTGTACCAACAAATCTCCCAAACTTTGCCATGGACTATTTGTTAGGGCATGCCTTTAACACTCCGCTAGATAGTTGACAACTCAGTCTTAGCCTTCAATTCCTGCTTGTGCAGACCCTCAAGATCTGACAGAGGTAAAAGCTTAGGGCCTTTTCAGGTCTTTACTGTGCTTACTCACAGCCCTATGTATGTGCATAGCTTTCTATATTTTCAGGAGTATGCCAGAGCTTTTCAAAAACCCTTTGGGCATCTCATTTGTAAGCTGTACTCCTAAATTTTTGTGTAATCTATCATTTACCCCAACTGATAGTCCTTGTCTTAGTGAGCTGCAAAGTTAAAACACTTGCCTGTAATTGTTTTTGAGAAATGCTATTCCCTAATCTACACACACCAAGTTGAAAGTTTTTTTTTGTACTGAGTGAGCTCTGAGTCAGGTCAAAAACAAACTGCCTTGTAAGTGAGGACTTCCAGAGAACCACCATACAAGTCAAATAAGGACAGCCCTTTGGGAATACAGCTTTGAAAGAACCCCTAGTTCTGTTCTGCTCTTCTAAGGCTGCCAGGCTGAACCACGAATGTGGGCTGTTATTTTTTCAAGGGTAACATAGAGCTGGAGGACAGAGGATGGGACAAGGAAAAGTTAATGGAAAATATCTCTAGGTTATGGCAAGCTTTGATTAATTCTAAGAGTTCTGAAAAAGCTGACACCATTTTTCATCAGTATTTTCTTTGCTTTGTGAGAGAGCGAATTTTCGGAGCTTCTTTGCCATTTTTGCTGATTTCGCTGACCTTACTTTTTAAAGATACTTTTAAAAATTATAAAACTTACAGGGCAATATGGAATAACAAACATTGACTAATGTGAATTACTTTACCAACAAAAAACTGGCAAACTTATTTTCTTATAAATAAGGATTTTTGTTGAGAGAGCAGTGCTCACTCAATTGTTTGGTTTTAATAATTGCTAGAAAAATTAAAGCCCCTCTTAAGATCGGTGATTGTTAAAACTAGTGTTTCTTTCTCTTCCTTTTACTCTCTCCCTCTTCACCCTCTAATATCTTCTTCAGTAAGTTCAAGGGAAAGAGAAAGTTCACTATTGTATATTTTTTTGAAGAAAGTTATAAAAGTTTTATTACCAAGAACATCTAAATTAAATTCTTATTCAAAATTTATACTTCATAAACATGCCAACAATAATGGAGAGTTATTGATTACTAAAGACTCAACTTGCCTTTGTTAATAACGTATGTTTTATTTGATGGGATAATGTGTTGTTTTTCTTTTTGGGTAGGCATATACTGTGAAGACACCAACGAAACTAAAAATTCAGCCAAGAGAAAACAAGAATGCACCCATTGAAGAGAATACTAAAAAGAGAAAAATGGTCTTTGAGTTTGATATTAATTCAGATAGTTCAGAATCTGCTGATCTTCTGGTAAACACATTGCAAATAATCAGTATTTATTATTTGTTTACATTATTGTGTACTTTATTTCTTGATAAAGAAATATCCTATTATTTGTCAATACTAAATACAGTAGAACTTTACTATAACAGAATCCTATGCTTTTACAGAATTTAAAGAAATTAGGGTTCAAATAATTTTTCTAAATTTTAGAAAACATTGCATTTTGAAATACTTGATATAACATAGTTGCATTTGAAATAATTAACCATATTGTTTTCCAACAGTGTTATAAAGGAGCTTTTACTGCATTTTCTTTTCTTTTCAAAAAAGAAAGGTTAGCCCTAGCCAGTTTGGCTCAGTGAATGGAGCTAGCCTACCTGGATTTGAATCGTGGTTCCACCTCTAACTAGTTATATAATCTTGAGCAAGTTACTTAATATTTGTGTCTCAGTTCCTCCCCTATTTAAAATGAGGATAATAGTATACCTACTTCACAAAATTGTATTAAAACTAATTAAAATATGCAAAGTGCTTAAAACAGTGCCTGACATAAAGAAAGTACTAAATAAGTGTTAGCTATTATTATTTGGGAGGATTACAATACTCATAAATTGATAACTGATATTTTAATTTTTATGTGATTATAAATGCTTCCTGTATAGGACTTAAGTGTGGGTTGAGTAAGTAGGCTGGGAGTAAGGGGAGGAGAAAGTGGTAATAAAAAGCCTCTGAAACTGAAATAGAAGTTAGAAAAATACTATTCACACGCATCTTGTATTTTACATAACCTTTCAGGAATATAGTTAATAGGATCAAAATTTAGGTCTTTGCCAGAATGAGGCTATTTTGTCATAGTCTTCTTTCTTTAGTATTCTTTTTTGTCTCTTTTTTTCTTTTTCCTCTCTCTTCCCTCTTCTTTCTTCCTCCCTCCTCCTTCACCTTTCCCTCCTCCTCCCCTTCATATGTGGTATGTAGACAAAATTTTAATAATGTAATATTTATGATGGCAATACCCAAGTTATATTTTTGTATTTTTCTTTAAGACCATGGTTTCAGAGGAAGAGACATTGAAAAAGCTAGGCAAGAATTATTCTTCAACAACTTCTCATTTTTGTGTCAGAACACCAAAAAAGGTAACTTACAAATTTATTTCAGAAAGCACATTTCAAAAGCTGGACTTTAATTTTTTAATTAAACATATTATGATTTTATTTTGAATTCAGACCCCTTCATCTCTAACAGCCCTTGGATCTGCGCCGAAATTCGGAGCTATGAGGAAAATGCGGGATGACCGTTGGGCTGTGATTGCTAAAGTGGATAGGAGAAAAAAACTAAAGGAAGCAGAAAGGCTATTTGTTTAATTTCAGAAAATCAGTGTGATTAAGGAGGCTAATAACAAAATTCATAGTTAACTTTTTCTCACTTTATAAAGAGCCAATTTTTTTCTGTAATTGAGGCTTTTTAATGTTTGCATACATTATTTATTTCTTTATATTTTTGTGTAAATGTGAAATAACTACATGTTATCTGAAAAATTGTCATTGTATTCAGATAGATGATTATATTTTGTTTTTACCTTTTTTTGGTTTTCATGAAAACTGTTTTGGCTAAGTTTTCAAATTATAAAGTTAGCCATTGAATGCTAGGAATAGACTATTGAGATTTACTTTTAATTCTTGACTATTAAAATATTTTGAATGCAAATAAATGCTTCTCCTTGATTCTGTAGATAGCAACTCTACTTACTATCAATTATCTGTATTGTTTAAGAAAAAATTGAAAGGAGTTTAATAAACAGATTTTGTTTCAAATGGCAGATTATTCTAATGTGACTCCTACAGATAATTCAGACTTCAGATGGATAAATTGATTTTTAAAAAAGTATCTGTTGCACAAGATTTCACGGAAGTAGAGCATTTTGCAAGCTACCACACTCACTCTTTGAGGAGGGTAAAATATTAATAAGTCTCATTCTAGACAGCTAATCATTAAAATTTTGATAATACTATTAATTTTTAAAATCTTGAGCTCATTTTATCCAAAGTTTACAGTTCTGAAGCAACTTTACCTAGTTTATAAAATTGACAATTTTTTTAGTTGCTGGAAAAGGCTATACCAGTATAACTTCCTAAATTACTTCACTTATCCAACATTCATTGTTGAATATTTATGGATTGTCTACCTAAGGATGAAGCATAGTTCTAGATCAGTGGTTCTCAACCTTCTGGCCCTTTAAATACAGTTCCTCACGTTGTGACCCAACCATAAAATTATTTTTGTTGCTACTTTATAACTGTAATGTTGCTACTGTTATGAATTGTAATGTAAATATCTGATATGCAGGATGGTCTTAGGCAACCCCTGTGAAAGGGTCGTTCGACCGCCAAAGGGATCTCGACCCACAGGTTGAGAACCGCTGTTCTAGATACTGGGGTACAACCATGAGCAAAACAAAATAAACCCTCTGTTCTTCTAGAGCTTACATTTTAGTGAGGGAAATAGACAATAAACAGAATAAATAAATGAAACATATAGTATATTAGTTAATGGTAATTGCTAAGGAGGAATGAGACAGGGCAGAGTATTAGGGAGCATGAAAGGGGTTGAAATTTTATGTAGGGTGGCCCTCACTAAAATGACAGTTGAATAACATGTCTGTGGCTATCTGGGGTAAATATTTTTGGCAAAAGAAACAGGAAATACAAAGGCCCAGAGATGGCGGGGGGGTGGGGGGGTGCCTGATATATCTGGGAAGCAGCAAGGAGGCCACTGTGGCTGGAGGATAATGTGCAAAAGGAAGAGTAGAAGGAGAAAAGGCTTGAAAATGAACAGGATGGGCGTGCAGATTATGTAGTGCTTGTAAGCCGCTTTAAGAGCTTTGGCTTTACTCTGAATAAGATGTGAAATCAGTAGATTTTTTTGAGCAAAGAAGAGCCATGATCTGACTCACGTTTTAGCATATGGATCTTTCTTTTTGACCACTGTGTTGAAAACATTATGAAAAGGGGACAAAGACAAACAGAAAATGGGTTTAATAATACATATGAGAGATTGTAAGTGACTTGAACAAGGGTGACAGCAGCAGGGGAATAAAGTGGTCAACTTCTGGATTCATTTTGAAAATTAGATGTGAGATGTGGTAAGAAAGAGAAAGGACCAAGGATAGCTTCAATATTTTTGCTTGAGCTGTAGTTTTGGACATGTTAGGTTTGAAATGTCTATTGGACATCCAAATAGAGATGGTAAGTTGGTTTAGAGACAATTCCAGGGTAATGGTATAAATTTGGGAGCCAACAGCATGTTTAAAGTTATTGAAATAGTCCAGGTGAGAGAAGGGAAAGTTTCTTAGATTGGAAGTTTAAGTTCCAAACTTTTAGATTAGATCTAACACCTGTCCTAAGAAAAATATCCATAACTTTATCATTCTACTCCTAAAATGTCTCCTTCATGTAAATGTAAAAATTAATGATGTCAAAGAGCAAGTTGCTTTGGTTGATATAAAGGTTAGAAATAAATTATTCATAATTCAGGCAACCTGAATTGAGTATAATTAATAGTCCACAGGCTTTAGTAGTACATCAAGAACTTTAATCAGGGCAGGTCAACTGTGGGTTAGAAATAGGAAATGGCAAACAGGAGACAGATAAGACTTAACATTATTTAAGTTATGAAATAAGAGTTTAGAGTTGGAGGTAACTGAAAAGATCACTTAAACATCAGTAATTTGAGGCCTATAAAAGCAATAAAAAAGAAAGGGAAAAGATAGTTTTAAAAATGACTTAAATTCTGTATGCATATACATAATTTACATCAATACATAAATGTAATCATTTAAAATCTTAATGCCCTCCTTTTTCCCCTTTTGCTTTCTCCCTTACCCACTCTCTTTTCTCCATACACATCAGAGTCCCCCTCCATCAAATTCCCCTCTCCTAGTAACCTTTGAGAAGAACATAGAGGGTATCCTTTTTCCACCCTCCATGATAGATTGATAATAGATGTAATGTATTTAGTTGTATTTTTACATATGCAGGCATGAGTTTATTATAGTAGGCATATAGTGGGATCTTATTGTTTTAATTTTCATTTCTCTGCTGACATATGATGTGGAATATCTTTTCATAAGCTTATTTGCCATCTGTATGTCTTCTTTGGTGAGATCTCTTCAGCCTTTTGTCCGTTCTTAAATCAGGTTGTTAAGTTTTAAGAGTTCTTTGTATATTTTGGATAACAATCCTTATCTGATACGTCTTTTACAAACATTTTCTCCAGTCTGTGTCTTCTCATTCTTTTGACACTATGGGCTTTTTAGCTATACTTTCATTTTTAGTGGTTGTTCTAGGATTTGCCATATACATAGTTTACCTCAAATACTATTATGGCACTTCACATATAGTGTAAGAACCATACAGAAATATATTTCTATTTCCCATTTCTGTCTTTTCTTGACATACAGTTTACTTCTTGACATACAGTTTACTTCTACGTATGTTATAAATCCCACAATACATTGTTATTTTTGCTTTAAGTTGTCAATTGTCATTGTTTTAAAGTTAGGTGAAATTCATATAATAAAATTAAGCACTTTAAAGCGAACATTTTTCTGGTATTTAATATGTCCACAATGTTGTGCAAACACTACCTTTATCTAGTTTCAAATAATTTTCCACATCCCCAAGGGAAACCCTGTACTCATTAAGTTATTTTCCCTTATTTCCTACTTCCCCCAGTCCCTGATAAACTACTAGTTTGCGTTCTGACTCCATGGCCTTACCTATTCTGTATATTTCAAATTAGTGGAATCAGACTATACGTGATCTTTTTGCTTTTTAATCCTCACCCAGGGATATTTTTCCATTGATTTTTTAGAGAAAGTAGAAGAGAGAGGGAAAGACAGAAATATCCATGTGAGAGAAACACATCCATTGCTTGCATCCTGCATGAGCCCCAACCAGGGCTTGGGCCAGGGAGGCTTCTGCAACCGAAGTACATATCCTTGCCTGGGAATTGAACCCGGACCCTTCAGTCCACGGGCCAATGCTCTATCCACTGAGCCAACCAGCTAGGGCTATACGTGATCTTTTGAGTCTAGCTTCTTTCACTTCATTTGTTTTTTTAACACACATAGCGAAGGAAGTTCACTGCATTACTAGTATTAGTTTATTATTTCTTGGCTTCCAAGAAATAATAAATTAATTAGTAAATTAATATTTACTAACAGAATTCTTTGTTGATTTTTACATATAACAATACTGTGATTCTTTTAAAGTAAAAGGTGTACTAAACAAAGATGAGAAAACTTAAAAATAATTTTTGGTGAGATTAATAACATTGTTGATTAGTTGCTGAGAAGTGGTTACACGTGTTATTGTGAGTACAGTTAATACTGCTTATATTATTCAGCCAGAGAAATAATATCTAATTACCAAGAGGTTATATAAAGAAAGAAAAATAGAGTGAATGATATACTAAGGGATAGAGAAGTAAGTTTTATATACAGGAAAGAATACTTGATACTGATCTTTTGTAACACTGAGTTTTATTACAGAATATGTTAGCAATTCCTATTAACATTTATATATGATCCCAACTTAAAAACGTTTTGAAATGGAGAAAGCTTTTGTAAATTCATATTAATGTGGCGTATTGGGGGCTTTAACTTATCAAAGGGAGAAGTAAATTGACATAATTTTATACATATTAAATTAGTTTTGTCTCTCCACTTGAGAGCTTCAAGATAATACAATGATTAATATGCACATTAGGTCCAACTCTACTTACTATCAATTATCTGTATTGTTTAAGAAAAAATTGAAAGGAGTTTAATAAACAGATTTTGTTTCAAATGGCAGATTATTCTAATGTGACTCCTACAAATAATTTAGACTTCAGATGGGTAAACTGATTTTTTTAAAAAGTGTCTGTTGCACGAGATTTTAGAATTTCACAGAAGTAGAGCATCTTGCAAGCTACCACACTCACTCTTTGAAGGAGGGTAAATATTAATAAATCTCATTCATAGCCAATGCCATTCCTCTGTTTAGCTAATTGAATATTGAGGCTTTATTTTCCTTTTAAAAATGAGTCACCGGCCCTGACCGGTTTGGCTCAGTAGATAGAGCGTCGGCCTGCAGACTGAAGGGTCCGAGGTTCGATTCCGGTCAAGGGCATGTACCTTGGTTGCGGGCACATCCCCAGTAGGGGGTGTGCAGGAGGCAGCTAATCAATGTTTCTCTCTCATCGATGTTTCTAACTCTCTATTCCTCTCCCTTCCTCTCTGTAAAAAATCAATAAAATATATTTTAAAAAAAGAAAAAAATGAGTTACAGTTTTAATGCAATAAAAAGGCCATCGGGAAACTTCGATTTTAGTATGGCTTCATTGTAACTATAGAATATTAGAGCAGTTAATAATGTGCGGGCACATCCCCAGTAGGGGGTGTGCAGGAGGCAGCTGATCAATGTTTCTCTCTCATCGATGTTTCTAACTCTCTATTCCTCTCCCTTCCTCTCTGTAAAAAATCA